CCTAGTACTTCTTGCGGGGCCACTGAGCTTTTGGCGGCAAGGGTGCAGAGCCTGAGGGCGCAGCGCGTGGAAGGCTTATGTCAAAACAGCGCAAAACATAGGTTTAGGGTTTAGGGTTTAGGGTTACGAAATGGGTATTCCCCAAATCAGGGGTACCCAAATAGAATAGAATCCCCTTAAAGGTAACCCCCAAAAAGGGTACCCCCTATTTTGGGAAACCCCCAAAAGAACCTCAATAGTGGGGTCATGTACCCTGCGCGACGATACCCCGTGGTTTTCTTGCACAGCTGGAGTAACCCTAAACCCTAAAGCCTTAAAAAGCATGCACCGGAATCCTCACATCTGTATGACCCCCAGCAACCCAAAGCTCCAAGCACCCCACAAGGAAGTTGAGGGTTTAGGGTTTAGGGTTTAGGATTCAGGGTTTAGGGTTTAGGGTTTAGGGAGCTTCTTCCGGGCGAAACAGACCACCATCGACCCCGCCCTCCTGGCAGCCGCGGCACCTGGGCTCTGTACGTCGGCTAGCTAGGGGGGGTTTAGGGTTTAGGGTTTAGGATTTCGGGTTTCGGGTGTAGGGTTTGGGGTTTAGGGTGCAAGGAAGGTTCACGTTGGGTTTTTCAACTGTCAACGCAGCCGGACACAAGAGAAATGTCCCCCCCCCCCCCATCCGTTGCAGGGATACCCAAGTCTCAAGAACTCCTATACCTGCACGGGCTATGATACCCCATAACCCCTTCAAAAGGCCCTTTGTAAGGTTGGTTAGGGGGGACAGACTACAGACTTGGCAAAGGCCTGGGCGGCCCCCGAGGCGCACATGCGCGCTCGCACGCCGTGGGCTGAGACTCTCCCGGGTTTAGGGTTTAGGTTTTAGGGTTAAGGGTTTAGGGTTTAGGGTTTAGGCTAAGTAAAGGGTTTAAGGCTATTGGGGTTTCGGATGAATCCCTGGAGCCTGGGTTTAGATTTGGCATCTCAGGGTTCAGACAATGTTAGGGTTTAGGGTTTAGGGTTTAGGGTTTAGGGTTACCCTTTTTACCTGCAGTTTTATGATGGGTTATACCTACTAGTTAAGGGTAGTTGCGACGCATCTGTGGGTATATAGAGTCCCCGGTAAGAACCCCCGGTCCAACTATGAGCCTGATCATTGGGATCATATATCCTACACTACTAGAGTTCCTATTAAGGCAATATGAGCCATAGATCTTTTTGGGATTGCTTAAGAACCAAAAGAAAGGCTCATCCCCACATTGCCCTTATGAGGGAGACTTCTTGGGGTGGCTCTTCAGCAAATGGTAGATAAGAGTTGTGAGCTTTTAGTTAGAAGAACCGGAGAACTGGAGCTCTCCTTTGCTAGAGCCCTGATGGGACTTCGCTCTGACATGTGTGCTTTCAGGAATCTCAGACCTACCATGGCGGGGACTTTTCTTCGGGGACCCTAAACCCTAAACCCTAAACCCTAAACCCTAAACCCTACGTAAACCCTAAACCCTAAACCCTAAACCCTAAACCCTAAACCCTAAACCCTAAACCCTAAACCCTAAACCCTAAAACCCTGAACCCTAAACCCTAAACCCTGAACCTGAAGTCGAGATGACGTCCTGGCTAGCCTGCATGCTTGTTAGCCTGACCCTCCGAGGCCCACCTTGCCTAACCCTCATCCGAAACCCCTTATTCATCGCGACATGTGGTTTTGAGGTTTAGGGTTTAGGGTTTAGGGTCTGGGGTCCCGTCAATGTCCTAGTCTGAATGCCTCAGGGGGCTCCCAACAAAAGGTTTCTCCTCATTTCTCCCAAGTCCGACCAACGAACCCCGCTGTGCTGTGGCTCGCCAGGTGGCAAAAGCAGCCCTAACCCCGAACTACGGGGGCCTGAATACTTTTCACGGGGTCTTGGGGGGTAATTCTCTAGTATATCCATATAGGAGCCATAAGAGAATGATGTTAACCATTCTTCCGACCCCTTTATCAACTTCTTTCGGCCTCCCCATTATGAGTGACTCTGCCAGGCTGAGCCTCCACAGCCCTATCAACGGCTGGTCTGCCGGGTGCCAAGTTGCAGCTTAGATGTAGTGTTTGTTTAAGGGCTTAGAGAGGGTTTCTTTGGCTTTCACGGGGTCCCGAAATTTGGGCATCTTGAAAGGGCTTTGTCGGGTCTAGAATGCTGCGTGCCTTCATAGGTTTTTATGGGGCTAGAATTCTCCCAGGAACAGAGTATGCTCAACAAGAACCACTTCTTTCGGATTGAGAACTTAGAGCCATAAGCATATAGGGTTGAGGTGCCCCCTGAAACCCACAATAGCCGCCATGAACCCTACGAGAGCCGTTTTAGGTGTTCGCAACGCCCTAACAATCACATAAGCCACCAGGTCTCAACGTTGCAGTTCTTCGCTGACGTGGAGTGCACCATGGAGGCCATCTTTGTTGGGCAAAGAGTTTTAGAATAGCGTTTACTCCCCCCAACGACGCAGAAACTCCGCGAAGGTGAGAGGCTTCGCGATCAGCTCTGGGTTTTCTGGGCAGTTCGTGCCAGAGCCCTACTGGGTTTAGGGTTTAGGGTTTAGGGTTTAGGGTTTAGGGTTTAGGGTTTAGGGTTTAGGGTTTAGGGTTTAGGGTTTAGGGCTACCCAGGACATGGAGAACATCTCCGGTGTAGGGTTTGGGATTTAAGGTTTAGGGTTTTGGGCAGTTTGGGGTTTGGGCAGTGTGGGGTTTCTGGTAGTAAGTTCTTTTGCTTTTTTCGTTGACGCGTTGGCAGGAGAATGGCAGGTGCTCAACATAAGGAGCTAGAGTTCGAGGTCCAAGGGGCGTCTTGCCTGTGAGATTCACGGGGTCCACGGGTCAAGATGCGGAGCGATCGTTCCAGAGCCTGCCGCAGGACCCTTACTGTACCAGTCAAGATCCTCTTTTGAGTACCCGAAATAATGGGCTCCGCAGTGTGATAGGAATCCAAAAAAATCTTATGTGCGTCCCTATATATATATATATACCCTAAACCCTGAAACCTATAAGCCCTCAACGACTGCAGCGCATGCCGTGCCAAGGCCCAGCTTGGCTTTTGATGGCAACCTCTCAACATTCTGGAAGGCCCCGCTTTGCACCGCGGGGTTTTGTGACTGCAGGACTGCAGTAGGTCTTTACAGGGTTCGGGTGTTTAGGGCAAGTTCATGTTCACCACAGTCGCAAGTCCAGACGCCCCAATATTGTTAGAATCTAACAGTTAGATGATCTAGAATTATGCAAAACCTCCACCTGATCTTTATTTTCTATCTATAGACAAGACAGAGAGAGAGAGAGAGAGAGAGAGCGATAGAGGGAGAGAGAGATAGGCAGGGAGCGAGAGAGGGAGAGAGAGAGAGAGGAAGAGAAAGAGAGAGAGAGAAAGAAAGAGAAAGAGAAACAGAAAGAGACATAGAAAAAGAAAGTGAAAAGAAGAAAGAGAAAGAGAAACATAAAGAGAAAGAGAAAGAGAAAGAGCAACAACATAAGTTGTTGTGCCTCGGGGATCAGGCTTTCGAAGGGGCCAAGCGCACAAAAGCAGGCCGTGTCTCACAGCAACCGCCTGGGGAAGCAAGGTGTGGGGACAGCTGTGCCCAAGTCGTCGGTAGGGGGTAGGCATGAACAAAGAAGAGGAGGGCGGGGGACGGCATTGTACACACCACTGCTTCCATGCTGAGTGCAGTGGCCCCGAATATAGGGGCAGGCGTTGCCCGGGTGCTTGCCGCATCCGCATGTTTGGGCCTAAGCAGGTGTGACAGCTGTGTTTGCTGTGGGACGTCTCGCCCATGCTGTCCAAACGTTGCCAAAGGCATTGCCCGCGCAGACGCTAACGCGAGTGAGAGCTTGTGGTGTTCGGGCTTATAGGGTTTATCAGACAAGGCCCCCACCTCAAGCCCACAAGAATACAACGAAGAGAGAAGTGTTTGGCCCGAGCGCAACAAGGAGTGCTGTGTCGGCCTTGACAGGCACAGTCCGCCCAGTTCCTGCCACCCGGCGAAGGCATTCGTAGCAGGGCGCATGACCTTCGGGGTTTCTGGTTGCAGGTGTTTTAGAGCGTTCGGAGAAAGGGAAGGGTCGCGCAGTCAAAGCCACAGTTCTTTTGTAAGTGAGCTCGTTCTGTGTCTTGCCTTGTGCGGAGAACGGTTACAACACTTCCGTGCGGGATAGACGGAAGCCTGTTGCAACGAGGATTTCCGGCGAATTGTACGGCTTAAGGGAATTCACGGTTTGTGCAGTGGGCTAAACGGCTAAACGGCTAAACCAAGAAACGCAGCACTTCCCACCCCGCCAAAGCCCAAGTCCCCAAACCTAGGAAGCACTCAATCCGCAACGTTTTCAGACCCTACCGGCCAGATGCAACGCAGTGGCTGGGCCTGCAGTTCACCTCACCTACTGTCCGGATCCTGGCGTTGCCCTGGTGCAGGGGGAGTTTGGGGTTGAGGGTTTAGGGCAACCATCTGGCAACAAGCTGGATGGATGGATGCTGCGCTGGCCTGTGTTCCAGTTTAAAACATAAGGGCAACCTCTGAAGCGGTGGCTAGTTGTTGATGTGCTCTTGTGCCAACCAGCTCTGATCTTCAGTTGTGCATCTTTTCCAGTGGACTGGGTTGTAGGTCTTTACCGGCTGCGTCGTTTTTGTTTGTTTGTTCATCTCCCTCTGTCTCTAGCAGTACTACTCGTTGAAGAAGTACACCTGGGAAGCCATGCAGAACTGTATTCATTATGTGAGATTGCAAACAGGATGCAGCAGTTGCCTGGTTTTCAGCTGTGCATGTACCTTCATGGTGTACTCGTGGCGTTGTAGCATCTAGGCTCGAGGCAGTCCCTCTGTGGCACGAGTGCGGCCCACGCGATGCGCTGCGATTCTGCAGAAGTCCTGTTTGCCACCGAAACGCAAGCCACAGCTCCTAAATCCCACATAAGCCCTAAGCCCTAAGTCCTAACTCCCAAATCTCAAAAACCCTCTTACAAGAGCCCATGTCGATGATGTACTGATCCCGTCACGCGGAATGACGGCCCATGCCATCGCACCAACAGCCAACGCTTTGTTGCAAGCGGGGGCGAAGGTGCGGGTTACAAATCAAAGCGTCGGCTCGGGGGTTTGAGGGTTCAGGGTTTAGGGTTTAGGGTTTAGGGTTTAGGGTTTAGGGTTTATAGGGACCTGGATGCAAGGGGTGTAAGGGAGTAAGGGTTTGAGGGTTTTATTGAGGGCTTTAGGCTTAGGGTTCAGGATTGATGGTTTTGAGTTAGGGTTTATGGGTTTTGAGTTTAAGGTTTAAGGGTTTCGAGTTTAGGCTTAAGGCTTAGGGTTCACGGATCGTGGTGCGGGCAAGAGTCTGGGCTCAAAAAGAATCACGGCTTATAGTGAAATCGCTGCAAAAGTGAGTTCGCCTCGAGGGTGCCTGAGTCTTATGCGTGCTCACATGGCTTGAACATGCCTGCAGGGAGTAATGAGCTAGAATGCCGAAGGCCTAAATGCTAAACTATATAAACCTTACAATTGTCACCCTTGCCCTTAAATTCGGTTTAGGGTTTAGGGTTTAGGGTTTAGGGTTTAGGGTTTAGGGTTTAGGGTTTAGGGTTGGCTTTTCGGTAGGACTTTGGAGCAATCCCTGCTTGCAGCCCCTTGCACGCTGCGAAGGGGCTAGGGTTGCTGGATTCGTGTTCAGGCTTAGGTGTTTGGGAAAGTAAACAGACAGGCCTTAGGCAAGTATATAATCCCTAACCCTAAACCTCTCGGGTCGAGGGTTCAGTGAATTCTGCAGTTCGGGTTTGGGCTGTGGGGTAGTCCCAGACCCGCCGAAAGGCGCACAAGCTTGGTGACCTGCGCGCGGCGGAGGTCTCGGGGATGATTTAGGGTTTAGGGTTTCGGTTTTTAGGCTTTAGGGTTTAGGGTTGAGGGTTTTCTCCGTCCGGCTGCAAAAAAAAGTTAGGGGCTAGGGTTTAGGGATGTTTAGGGTAATCAGCCTACAGCCTAAACCCGAAAAGCCCTAAGCAGGAGGGGAAGCGGCCCTCCACCCTAAACTAATCCTAAACCCTAAACCCCTGACCTTAGCAAGTGGTGAAGTGCATCCCTCGACCAGTGAACCTAGTCGTCCTTTGAATTTGTCCCTGCAGTGCGTTGGTTTGGTGCTAAACCGGAAACCCTAAACCCTCAACCCTAAACCCTAAACCCTAAACGCTAAACCCAAGAAAGGGCCAAGCCCTGAAATCCCTGAAAGGTTGCCTTGCCTGCCCGCTTTGTCAAGAGAGTCGAACTCCCAGCCCACTCAGCACAGCTCAAGCCAAGAGCTGAGAAGTCTCAACTCCTCGTTAGGCTTGGGGTTTAGGGTTTAGGGTTCAGGGTTTAGAGTTTAGGGTTTAGGGTTTAGGGTTTAGGCCCAAGGCTCTGAACTCTTCCGTGGGTAGGGGGGCGGGTTCAGGGAGGGCTGGGGTTGAGGATGGACTTGCTTGGCGCAGGAGCTCTACCAGCAGGCCCTTGACTCACTGGGCGTTTCCTCCTCTGATGCTGCCAAAGAGAAGGACCTCGGTTTAGGGTTTAGGGTTTAGGGTTTAGGGTGTAGGGTTTGGTATAGGGTTTGGGGTTTAGGGTTTAGGGCTTAGTTCTCCTAAATGTACCCCAAAGAGCTTGTGGCACCTATGCCCTCATAAGTAGCTGAATGAGTACACTTTACGCGTTTTGGGATACGGTAGTCCCCTCTAGAACTGAAAGCGTACACTTTTGGGGCGGCCTGTGCACTCAGCAACTAAGATCCTGGTGTCTGAGGACACAGACGTCGCAGAGATTTTCCACCTCCTGGGCGCGCTCAGGCTGGGCCCTAAACCCTAAACCCTAAACCCTAAACCCTAAACCCTAAACCCTAAACCCTAAACCCTAAACCCTAAACCCTATGGGCTTCACAAGCCTTGGGATCTGGGGGTTTAGGGTTTAGGGTTTAGGAGGTGGGGATGGCTTCTGAGTACGAAGCCCTACACCCTGTGTGGCCCCCAAGACTCTACCCGAACTTAAGAAAGGGAAGGGGGCGAGGCCTAAACCCTAAACCCTAAACCCTAAACCCTAAACCCTAAACCCTACAGCATGCTTGCAAGGCGCTGTGTGCTTGGACTCCAATTCTTTGGGTGGAGTCCTCTGCGCCCTCCCCCCCGCCCCCCAAACACCCTGAGAATTCCCTGAGCCATCCCAGAGCCTCCGATAGGTTTAGGGTTTAGGGTTTAGGGTTTAGGGTTTAGGGTTTAGGGTTTAGGGTTTAGGGTTTAGGGTTTAGGGTTTAGGGTTTAGGGTTTAGGGCTAGGGTTTAGGGTTTAGAGTTTAGGGTTTAGGGTTTAGGGTCCCCTGGGTGTATGAACGCACTGTGGCTGAGGGTGCAGAAGCTGGTTGGGAGTGCGAAGGACGAGGACCGGCAGCCCTCAATGTGCACGGGGATTTGGGGCCAGGGCCCTCCACGACTAAACTTGGTAGGACTTTGCCTAAGAGCCTTAGTAGCTGAATGGGTGCACTTTACACTTTTTGGGGATGCTACAATCCCAGAACTGACTTTTGGGGGCTTATGACATTATGAACTCAGCAACTAAGGAGCTGAGATGCCTTGGGGTCTTGGGATTGAGGGTTCTAAGGGTTGTAAGTAGAAGTATGTAGATCTTTCAGCTGCTCCACCGGCCTCTGGGGATAACGTGTCAGAACTTTCAGACATTGTCTCAAGGCTCTAGGACTCTTGGGATCCGAGCCCCTGGTATGCAGCTGTTGCCCTCTAAACAAACAATATATATATATATATACCTGAAAACCTAAGCTCTACATAAACCCTTGGAACATCCGCAAACTCGAGCCCGGATGAAGTTGAACCCTAAACCCTAAACCCTATCCCCTGAACCCCAAAAAACAACCCTAAATCCCAAACCCTAAACCCTAAACCCTGCCTCCGAGCTGCCCAAGGAGGACGACGAGGAGCCTTTTTTGCAGGGAAAGGCCGCCGCCTCCTTGGCGGAGGCCATCGCCCTCCTGCTCCTTTGGCTGCTTCGGGCTTATAAGAGTATAGGGTTTGGGGTTTAGGGTTTGGGGTGCAGGGTTTAGGGTTTAGGGATGGGGGACGGAATAGTTACTATAATCATCTTCCCTTCTGGTCCCTTTATAACTAAACTATAAGAGCCGCCCAAAACCTTATTCTAGTCATTGAGGTCTATATAAAACCGTAAATAGTCAGCTCATGCTTACCTGAAAATTGGGGGGCTATATACCCAGTTTTCTATGATAACTCTTATTGAAGTAATATGAACCATAAACCCGGTTTAGGGTTCATTTGGTATGCACACCTAGCATCCTTTGGGGACCTTAAAAAGACTCAGGGCTGCTTTCTTTGTCATGTGGTTTAGGGTTTAGGGTTTAGGGTTTAGGGTTGAGGGTTGAGGGTCTAGGGTTTAGTGTTTAGGGAGGGTTTAGTGTTTAGGGTGCTGGGGGGGCGTTTGGGTGATGACGTGTGTCAGGGGAGCTTGCTGCATCTCGAGGCTGTTTGGTTTGGGCCATTGGTGTTCAGGTTGGGGCGTTTGGGTACGGAATGTGTTGTGCCGAAGCTCTGTGGCCATAACCTTGGGACCAAATGAACCCTAAACGGGTGTTGTGTTCAGAGACCTCAATAGGGTTTATGGTAGCATCGGGTATATCATGTTTAGGGTTCATCTGGTCACCAAGGAAGTCAGCCAGTTCGGAACGTTTCGCTCCCTGAGCTGAGGCGCTGCGCCCGCGCATCGCTGCCCTCCACGGCCTCCGACACCGCCCGCGCGCGCGTGGCCTCGTCGCTGGGCACCGCCATGCTCCATGCGCCAAAGGCACCTGAGCAGTCTGGGGACCTCATGACCCGTAGAGTTGGGCTCGGAATCTCCTACCTTGCATGACGTATGCGAATTAAGATAATCTCGATGAGGGTACACATGGATCCGATACCCTGAAAGTCCTCAATTCGAGGTTTAGGCCTCGACCCTGATACCTTGGATTTCCTGAAGGGTCCGGAGCCGCCATATATACCCCAAAGACAAGGCACAAATATCGAGAACCAAAAAACAGGCTCCCTTTATGCAGGTTGTGATGACAAAGCCCTGAAGGATCACAAAGAAGCAGGTTTTTAGGGTTTAGGGTTGAGGGTTGAGGGTTGGGGGTTTAATTAGGGTTTAGGGTTTAGGGTTTAGGGTTTAGGGTTTAGGGTTTAGGGTTTAGGGTAGTTTAGGATTTAGGGTTGGGAACCCCAAGCTAAAATCTTCGCAGGAACAAGGCCTGGCGCGCGCCAAGGGCTCTGCCCTGGAAGAGGCCGTCGCCATCCTTCGTGAGGCACGAACCTCTCTGAAAGGGTCTATGTACCCATGTAGTACATACTTAGGGTTTAGGGTTTAGGGTTTGGGGCTTAGGGCCTAGGGCTTAGGGTTTAGTATATGAACCCTGGAATGGGGGTTATATACCCTATACTATACTCTAACTGCTACTAAGGCATATGCACGATAGACCCTTTTAGGGTTCATTGGGGCCCCAAAGAAACCTCAAAAACCCTGAGTCATCCACAGGCCAGCACCTGAAAAAAGGCATAAGACCTGTTTTGTAGAGCTGAGAGAGCCGGGCTCCGGGCGCAATGCTAACCGTCGCGGTTTAGGGTTTAGGGTTTAGGGTTTAGGGTTTAGGGTTTAGGGTTTAGGGTTTAGGGTTTAGGGTTTAGGGTTTAGGGTCTCCGAATTTAGGGGTACCTTCTTGGGGCCCTTAATATAAGGGAATCCTGCTAGTGGGAACAATATTCGGGGTCCCATATTTTCGCACACCCCCCATTTTGGGTCGGAATAGCTACTACTAGTAGTATTCCGGTCTGGTCCCTGTTTACTTATAATTCCTGTAATAAGGCCCCAAAACCTTATTCCAATTCTTAAGGCTCCTGTTTTAAGAAGGTTGTGGAGGATGGTGGGGTTGAACTGGTTGGGATGTTCCCCCTTATACCAGTCCTTAATAGGGACCATACTAGGCCTATAATCCATATTCAGGACTGTTCGCACAAGGAGGAACATACCAAGTGCCAGGCCCCACATGAACCCCAAACTTGGATGTCATGTACCCTCTACTAAAAGAATCCCTACTAAGGCACATGAACCCTAAACCCTACGCCCTAAAACCTAAGCCGGTTCGTGTGGTCCCCACGGGGTTCATGCGAGGCGTGCAGCCTCGACCCTCAGCGCTGGTCTGCGCACCTCAGCTGGCAGATGGGGTTTAGGGTTTAGGGTTTAGGGTTTAGGGTTTAGGGTTTAGGGTTTAGGGTTTAGGGTTTAGGGTGGAGGCTGTAGGGCACAGAGGAGCTGCCATGCAGGAAATCAGAGCAGTTGCATGGCATGGAGGTGGTTCCCAAGACCACATGTCGCAAGACAGAAATGCCTCTGATTTCTTTACCTTTGCTCATACTAGGGGGCCTATAATCCCTATTAACCCAAAGGATCCGTGTACCTATATAGTATATACTTGGGCCTTAAAGGGGTTCCTATATAGTAGCTTTAGGGCCCAACTCAGACAGCCAAAGAGCAGCACGCATGGCATGTGCAAGGGGCATCGTACCAGACCAGGTGTTGGGATGCTGCCCCCTTTCCTAGCAGTCCTGAAAAGGGAGTACAGTCCCCCCCTGTTAGAATCCCTTTTTAAGGATTGTTCGTATAAGGGGGAACATCCCAACCAGGTGGTACAACCTCAGCCGGGCCTTGGCGCTCTTCGGACTGGCTGCTTTGCATCAAGCATGTCAAACCTTCAATGGGATTTATGAGGCATTTAGGGGTCGCTCACTGCAAGTGCCGTCTTCAGGCCAAGAGGTGTTCGTGATGTTCGTGATGTCCTTGGCATAAGCCCTTGGGATATTGTGATATGCTTCCCTTGCTGAGGGCTCAGTAGGGGTTGAGAAGGGTTAGGGTAATAGGCGCACTCGGGATATTGTGTCTCCTTTCATCTGGAAACACCTCGCGCTCAGAGAGTTGGAGAGGGGTGGAGGGGTGGAGGGGCTGCAAAAGCGCGAAAGCCCCGTAAGACTTGTCAACCCGGAAAACGACCCAAAAAGTCCTAAACTCCCCAAACTCTCGCCTCACACCCTAACCCAAAAACCTTAGCCTTAAACCCTAAACCCTAAACCCTAAACCCTAAACCCGTTTGAGATGTTCTGTCAGGTGAAGGAGAGGCAAGGGCTCACCGATGATGTGCGGGCTCTCAACGAGGAGACTAGCGTGGGGCTCGAGTTGGAGTCATGACTCGGTGGGTTTGGGGTTTGTTTAGGGCTTAGGGTTTAGGATGTCGGGCTTCGGATTTAAGGGTTTAGGGTTTGTAGCTTTAGAAGGGGGCCGATCCCTTTCCCCCCGAAGTATGTTGCAACCCCTTCTGGCGCCACAGGAATGATAGTATGTTGGGGTATATAAGGGCGTCCCTTATATCCGAAAACCCCCACGTGAAAGAAAACTACCCTCAGGTCGCACCTCGGGGGGCAACTTATTTTCATGGCGCCTGAATTTCAGACGCCAAGGAGGACTTCTTCGCCACCAATATGGGTTTTCTCCCAAATTAGGGGTACCCCTTATATAGAACCCCCTTAGGGGTACCCCTATTTCCGGAAGCCCACATATCAGGGAACAACTGCAAGTTCTGTTGGCCATCACGGCATGGCTGTGCCGTCTGATGACGGTAGCTCTCCGGACGCACGCTGCGTGCAAGAGCCAGGCGCCCTAAACCCCTAAACCCCAAACCCCAAACCCTAAACCCTAAACCCCAAACCCCAAACCCCAAACCCTAAACCCTAAACCTAAGCCCTAAACCCTAAATTCCTTTCCCAAGGCTAGCCTCGAGATTCCTTCCGGTTTTTCCTCCTTCCACAGGAGCGCATCCGTGCGCTGCGCTCGGCGCAAAGGCTTCGGCCCAAGCACGCGGGCTGCTTGCGGCTGGGCTGAACCTTGGGGACGAAATGAAGCCCCATAACTGGGGTCATATACCCTATACTACTATAATTTCCGATTAAGGTGTATGAACCATAAACCCTTTTAGGGTTCATTTCGTCCACAAGGTTTAAAGCTGAGTAGTAGAGTATGTAACCTTTAACCTTTTTGGGGTAGTATCATCCCCTTGTAATCCAAAAGGTTATCCTGAAAGTTATAAAGTTGGTTGCCCTGCTAGTGCCTATTCTAGGGGGGGGGGTTAGGTTGTTTTTGTTTGCTTATTGTTATTGTTGTTTGGGGGGGGGGGTTGAAAGCTATAAAGTTGGTTGCTGGTTCTTGTTTGGGGTGGTTGGCCTTGTAGTACCTATTCTAAGGCGTTTTAGGTTTTGTTTGTTTATTCTCATTTTTGTTTTTTTTGTTTTTTTTTGGGGGGGGAGGGGAAACCCTAAACCCTAAACCCTAAACCCTAAACCCTCAACCCTAAACCCTAAACCCTAAACCCACCGCGCGATGTTGTCAGCTCCCAGGTACCGCTTGGGGATGGCTTGCCGGGAGAAGGGCGAGGGCGATGAGGCCTCTCCACCTCTCCGCTCTCCCCTTTTTTGCGGTTTAGGGTTTAGGGTTTAGGGTTAGGGTTTAGGGTTTAGGGTTTAGGGTTTGGAGGGTTTGGAGGGTTTGGAGGGTTTGGAGGGTTTGGAGGGTTTGGAGGGTTTGGAGGGTTTTAGGGTTTATACAAGCACTTTCTAGACCCAAGTCCTATAGACAAGTCGTCCCCGAAGCAGACCCCAAGTACATGCAAGGGGGCGCTAAACCCGGAAGCCCCTAAATCCTGAGAGTGAGCATCGAAACCCTTAAGTGCCTCGACCTTGGGGACCAAATGAAGCCTAAAATTGGGCTCACATATACCCTAAGCTACACAAATCCCTATGAAGGTAATGTGAACCATAAACTTGTTTAGGGATCATTTGAGTCCCCACGGGACGGGTTTTGACAAACATGCCATACTTTGGGATAGCTTTCCAGCGCCTTTTGCTGTACGGCTTCGCGGCGGGAGTGCTTGGCACGCGCGCGGCCGGGATTCTAGGGCTGAGAGGGACGTCAGGCTCGGTGCTCCAGGCCTTGCTCCTCGGAACCCGAAACCCGAAACCCTAAACCCTAAACCCTAAACCGCTCGCTGGTTATGGTGCTCTTGGCTCCCCTGACCTGGGGCAGTGGCTTGTGGTCTAACCTCAACATTTTGTGTGCAAGAGGCCTTGCAGATGCTGGGGGACTTCATGACAGCCACAGAGGGCGACTCAAGCGTGATCTGGCTGCGAATTCCGGATTTGAGTTGTGGTCTGCGCTTTTTGTTTGGGGTGGAGGATGGGGAGAGGGGGAGGGGTTGCAAGTAGGGTCTCGGGTTTAAATTAAGGCGCCGGGACGATGAATTCTAAACCCAGTCTGCGGCGATTTGCAGCTACTCCTGACTGCACAGGCTGTTAGGTCAGGCAAGGCGTTGTACTAAACACAGGGGCTTCTTCCCTCATCGACCCTTTCCACACGCCTACGCCCTAAACCATCTCATGACACACCCCTAAGAGATGGGGGTTTGCGAAAAACAAAAGGGACCCCTGAAATAGACTTCCAGATACCCCCAGATAGTAGGGTCCTCTTATTCTAAGGGCCCCACCCTCAACCCTCAACCCTAATGTTGACTTCACATTAGTGATTCCCGCCGCAATTGTAAAATCCAGCTGCCGGAACACAATATTGTAACCCGCCACAATTGTAAAATCCGACCCGGGAAATCCGTTTTTTACGGGCGTGGTGCTACTACCTAATACTAAAACTAATAGTACGTCCTACCAGGATTTAGGCGAACATTATTGAGGAGGCCCTGGCCGGAGAGATTGATCAATGAAGGGGGGGGGGGGGTTTATTAATGCGAAGTCAACATTAAACCCTATACCCTATACCCTAAACCCTCAACCCTAAACCCTAAACCCTATACACTTAATATCGTAAATCCCCTAAGATATCTCGAGGCCGGATGCCTGCGTCGGCGAGCGGGTGCCAGCCACTGGCTCGCCGTGCTCCGAGGGGCCACCCGACTGCGCGCTTCGCCGGGTGTGGGGTTTAGGGTTTAGGGTTTAGGGTTTAGGGTTTAGGGTTTAGGGTTTAGGGTTTAGGGTTTAGGGTTTAGGGTTGAGGGTTGAGGGTTTAGGGTTTAGGGTTTAGGGTTTAGGGCGGTTTCCTAGGTAGACATTTGGGACATTGTATATTTTCCCTTATTGGGTTTACGAGGATCATCGTCAGAAACATTTTTCAGATGGTTGTAAGGGCCATCTTCGTTTCTGAAGGGCTGGAGGATGGCAAACCACAGCCGTATAAACCCTATGCCCTAAACCCTAAACCCTAAACCCTAAACCCTAAACCCTAAACCCTAAACCCTAAACCCTAGACTGACAAAGCCCTCCAAACCTTTCTTGCTTCATGGGTTTCTTGGGGTCAAGAAGCTGCCATCTTGGCAGCCTGCTTGGGACTGAGTTGTCGATTTCAACTTTCTTTGTAGCCGTTTCATGCTTTGTTCTCTGTTTAGGGTTTAAGGGTTTAGGGTTTAGGGTTTAGGGTTTAGGGTTAGGGTTTAGGGTTTAGGGTTTAGGGTTTAGGGTTTAGGGTTTAGGCACTTAGGAGGTTTGGGATGTTCCCCCAGTCCTTAATAGGGATTTCAGTACCCCCTATTCCCCAAAAAGGACTGCTAAGCATAAGGGGGAACATCCCACTGGGAGGTTGCAGAACAGGGCAGAGCGTGGGTGAGGTGAGGTGAGGGTGCGAGGCACCCTAAACCCTAAACCCTAAACCCCAAACCCCAAACCCTAAACCCTCAACCCTCAACCCTAAACCCTAAACCTTAGGGTGCGAGGCAAGGGGCTGAGGCAAATTGTTGGCCAAAAGTGGCGGAAGTGGAGGGTGAACATATTGGCCGTTGTCCAATGCATCAGGGTGACTTGAGACTGCTCTTGCTCTAGTTAGGGTTTAGCGCTTGACCCTAAACCCTAAAACCCGAAACCCTAAGACCCTAAGACCCTGAAACCCTTAGTAAGCTAGCACAAGGAGACGACGGCAACGGCTCCGCCGGAGTACGTGGCGGGCCTCTTCGATGGCTACGCAGAGCGATTCGATGATCATCTGGTGCCTCGGCAGACCCTAAACCCTAATCCCTAAACCCTAAACCATAAACCCTAAACCCTAAACCCTAAACCCTCGGAGAATCTCAGACGGCCTTGGGGACCTGGGGGCCAAAGGAACCCCACCCCTAAAAGGTTTAGGTACATTTACCTTAAAAGGGTTGATGGTTTGTATAGCCTAAACAGGTTTAGGGTTCATATACCTTAAAAAGGGTTTATGGTTCATATACCTTGAAAGGGTTTAGGGTTCATTCACCACAGTTTTGTGGGTTATAAAGTTATACCTATACTGATTCAGGGTAGTTACTGCCAAACTGTAGGTAGATAGAGTCCCAGGCACCCTACACGAGAACCTCTAAGCGGTTTATGGTTGATAGTCTTTTTCCGGAGACCATTTGAACCCCAAATTGGGTCCCCTCTACCCTGTACAACTTTTCGTCCTATTGAGGTTTTGTGAACCATAAACCCTTTCAGGGTTCATGTGGTCCCAAGGTTATAGGATTGAGGGCGCTTTTTGGAGGGGCTAGGGGGTTATCATACACCCTAGCGTACAATCCCTAGGCCACATGGACCTCAACCCAAAACCCTAAAACCTGCAATCCCTGAGGTATATGGACCATAAGCCCCGAAGTAGGGTCGATTTTAGCCCCTAAACCCTAAGCCCTAGACCCTAGGCCCAGGGTCGGCGTCTACGCAGGTAGGCGCCCTGGAGTATCGAACTCCCGAGCTCCTGGCTGCAGAGCTCAAGAGCATGAAGGAGCCCATTGGGGGCTGGGGATGGGAGGGTTTAGGGTTTAGGGTCCAGGGTTTAGGGTTTAGGGTTTAGGGTTTCATGGCAGCATAGCTTGGAGGTTGCTTCAGAGTTTTAGAGGTCCCCTGGTTTAGGGTTTATTGGGCTTAAGAGGGCTCAGAATCCCCACCGCGTGCATGGGCGTTCCCCGCAGCCGCTCAACTTATGCGAGTTGGTAAGTCTTTAGTCACCTTGCCACCCACTGATCCTTTCAGACGGGTGAAGGACCTGAGGACTTCCCCAGTTGTTTCCCACCAGCCCGCACTCAAAGGTAATTTAGCAAGGCCTCCCAGCTGTCAACTCTTCGCCCAGAGCATCAACATCTCCCAAAAAGCTCTCCTGACCCGGTACGATGAGCAGGGGTGTCTGCTGTGTTTTGCCAAATATGTCAGATGACGGACGATGTAAGTCATGCACCCCCTTTGTGCCTCTCTATTCGCATGTTCCCAGAAGAGTGTAAGGGGTACCCACAAGCCCGAAATCTGGATCAACCCCGATTCCAAAACAAGGGCTTTTGAAGAATTCTCTGCTCTAAGTCCCTATACAAGCCCCGAAACTTAATCGACTCTGAACCTCTCAACCCCTACAAGCCTACAAGGGCACCCCAAAGCCTAAACGCCCCAGCAGGATGTTGCCATTCAGCCATGCGGGCGGGAAACAAACCAAAAAACGGACATCAAAAAATATAATCCTGCACCCTGAAGCCCTAACAGCCCTAACCCTAAACCCTAAACCCTAAACCCCAGGACACCCTGCTGGCTGAGAGCCCTGGCTCCCGGCCCTTTGCTCGCTGTGCCGACCTAGGATGCGGTACTGGGCTCCCCGGCGTTTTAAGGGGGCTTAAGGGTTGTCTTGGGGTTTAGGGTTTAGGGTTTAGGGTTTAGGGTTTAGGGTTTAGGGTTTAGGGTTTAGGGTTTAGGGTTTAGGGTTTAGGGTTTAGGGTTTATAGAGTTTGGGGTGTATAACTCTGAGAGTCTGGCCTTGGAATGACGGGCTGGTTATGTGAGGCGAGCCTGCCCTTCCTTGGGGGACGAAACGAACCCTAAAAGGGTTTATGGCTCATATACCTGAATAGGAATTATAGTAGTTATGGGTATATGTCCCCAATTTTTGGGGGTTCATTTCGTCCCCAAGGTTATAGCTTAACCCTAAACCCTAAACCCTAAACCCTAAACCCTAAACAGGTTAGAGCTTAACGTTCGAAGAGTTGGCATGTTTCCGCGTTGCCTTGCCGCTAAATCCTACCCCGAGCTAGGGCCACCATTTGTATGTCTCCGTTGAGCCCTAAGCACCCTATAACCACCCCCCCCCCCCCCCCCGAAAAATAACAGCAAAAACACATACAGTATACGATAATACGCATAGCAAGTAAAAATGATGAGTAGTGCGTAATAGTAACGAATATAAACAAACGAAGCCCAACCATCCAAGGTTGATGGGGCCTCCGCTGCGTGAACTGGGCGTGGAGCACCTCGCGGTGGCCGAGGGTTTGGGGTTCAGGGTTTAGGGTTTAGGGTTTAGGGCTTGGGATTCAGGGTTGGGTTTAGGTGAAGAACGTAAGAAGCAGATGGCGCAAGTTGGCAAAGCCATCCTCAACCCCCCCCCCCCCCTAAAACTAAATAAGCCCGTGTGGCACATCGTGGCGAAGTAGGCTGCACCAAGGTTGCGGTGCCTCCGAAGCGAGCTCTTGAGCCTTCTTTTCATGCGCTGATTTTGCTTCAATTCCTTACACTGCTTCGCGTTGCGGGTGTAAGTTTGGGGCCTCGGTTCACAGACACGGATGCATCAGGGGACTTCTGTGATGTTTTTTCCGATGCCTGTGCGCCTGGAGGGGGTCGACCTGTCCGCGAAGATGTTGGAGGTGGCGAAGGAGAAGGTGCCCACGGATCCAGTCATGCACCCACGCAGTGGTGACAGCGCAGGTTTAGATGAAAGGGGCATTCGTAGCCGAATGAAGGGGCATGACCCAAACCCTAAATCCTAAACCCTAAACAGATGCAAGCAAATAGCCGCTACAGTCTAGAAGGACCGTGGCTACGACAAGCTCGTGTGCGGCGACCTGGTCGATATCTTCCAAGAAGAGGGCCAGGCCCACCGGTGTCCAAAATGGTTTAGGGTTTAGGGTTTAGTGATTAGTGATTTATGGGGTTTAGGTTTAGGGTTTAGGGTCCAAAAATGCAAATAAGGCCAAATGTTATTCAGGGCTTGCTTTCTGGAATGGTAGGTTATTGTGGCTTTGCCCGCTTCTTGCCGGCTGGCAGCACTGATGCAGCAGTTTCTTTCGGCAAGAGCATGATTAAATGCTGCTAGGGTCATACTATTGGTCAGCTATTTTATTCCCTAAACCCTAAACCCTAAACCCTGCTTCTGAAAGACTCCCGAATGTCCCGCCCCACGCTGGGGCCATCCTGAACACAATTCCAAATCCCGAGAATAGCCTGGACCCTATCGACCTTCCGAAAGCCGTTTAACCTTACCCAGTCAATACTTTAACTTGAAGATTTTTGGGTTTTCTTATTTAGTAGAAATATACAAAGCTTAAATCTTTTTCCCCCTATAGTTATGTGCGATTTAAGCAAGAGCGCCTTGTGACCTCCTCATGGCGTCAGGCAACCGAGTTCGACCTTGTCGTGGCTGCGGATGTCTTTGTGTACGCGGCTTTCTTAGCCTGCAGTGAGTCGCCCCAAGTTGTTTGTTTCCATGCATGGCGAACTTAGAACCTGCTTTCTGTTATAGGGTCTTGTTATAAAGCCCCCTTATAGGATTCTTGGGTAACCTACAAAGAAGCAGGTGATGGGTTCTTAAGGTCCAAATCAGAAAGCACAGAGCTTTTCTGGGAAGCTTCTCAAACCCAAAATGTTTAACCTTCAAAACCGTTGAAGCCTGAACACTACATCCTCATTATGCCCTATGAACGCTAGAACCGAACCTCTCAGATTCTTCAAGGCCCATCCCTGGATCCCGAAGCCCTCTCGTGCCAGGGCGGGCTCTTGTACCCCGAGTTTCCTTGCAAGGCCCCCGAGGTGTATAGGGCTTGTCATCGGGGTGATTCCATGCCCTCTTATGGCCGCCGTCCTGGTACCATGACCCTAAGCCCGGCAAACACAAAAGAAAAAACAAGAACGACAAGAACCCCCCCCCCCCCCCCCCAAAAAAAAAAAAAAAAAAAAACACTCGAAACAATTGAAACCCTAGAACCCTGAACCCTAAAACCCTACGCCCTAAACCCCAAACCCTAAACCCCAAACCCCACGCAAACCATAAACCCTAAAACCCCAAGGTGGGCGACCTCCTGCCCGCCCTCTTGGCGACCTCTCAGTCTCTGACCCCTCGGGGCGTCGTCGCCTTCTCCACGGAGGCTTGGGGGTCCTTTTAGATTTTAGGGTTTAGGGTATGAGGGTTTAGGGTTTATAGGGTTTAGGGTATTAGGGTGTAGGGTTTGGAGTGAGATTAGGATTTTATGGGTTTTTTTTATGCTTTGTGGTTTATGGGCTTAGGGGTGCGTGTCTGTAAGGATTCGGTAGGCGGAGGGATAGTGGAGGGCTGGCGCCTCTCAGGCTCACAGACGTGCTTTCCCTTCCTTGGGGACCAGTATATGAACCCTAGAAGGGTTTTTATTGTTCATATTACCTTACCAGGAAACATAGTAGTAGAGATGACCCAATTTCAAGGTTCATTTGGTCCTGGGTTCGCGTTTCAGGGGCCGACGTCCCAATCCCACAACCACACGCTTGGGGACGAAATGAAGCCCAAAATTGGGGTCATATACCCTATATTACTATAATTCCTAATAAGGTGTATGAACCATAAACCCTTTTAGGGTTCATTTCGTCCACAAGGACGGGGGGCTGATCAACCGCCAATTTTCATACATTCTGTATTACATCGAGGGTACTAATGACAACGAAAGGCTTTGGATTGTAGATACCCTAGGCCGTAAACGTTAAACCCTACACCCTTGAAACCCTATAAACACTTTAAACCCTGTAAACCCTATGAACCCTATAAACCTTACAAACCCTATAAACCCCATACACCCTGTAAACCCTACAAACCCTATAAACCATAATATGACCCCTATAAACCCTCTAACCCTCTAAACCCCATAAACCCTCTAAACCCGATAAACCTAAACCCTAAACCCTCAACCCTAAACCCTAGCCCTAAACCCTAAACCCTCAACCCTAAACCCTAGCCCTAAACCCTAAACCCCATAGACCCTGGAAGCTCTGTTTTCGAGGCGCCTCCCCGCTCGGGCAGCGCCAATGACACTTCGGCACGCAACGAGATCTTCCCTGCCTCTCAACATCCCCAAAATCCCCAACCTGGACTTAGGGTTTGCGGTTTTAGGGTCTAGGGTTTCGGGTTTAGAAGTTTAGGGTTTAGGGTTTGCGGGGTTTAGGGCCCCAAAACCCTAAACCGAGGGCTAGGGCAGCAGTCTCAGCCCTGTGGGTGCCCTTGTGTTGCGTGGCCTCAGCTCTTGTTTAGAACAGGGTTCTGCTTCAGAGCTGGTCTAGGGTTTAAGAGTCCAGTGCACACGCTCACTCCTGCGATCTGCAAGACTGAGACATCCACCCCCTGAAGTGCCTAAGCAGGCAAGGCCTCCACAAAGAAGGGAATGATTCTTGGCTGGGCACAAGCCTGAAGGCCTCAGCCTGCACAAACGGCTTCCCCGACCTCAACCCTCGGCCTACGAGACCTGGAGGGGGCTCTTCAACCCTCAACCCTCAACCCTAAACCCTAAACCCTAAACCCTATCAAACCTAGGGGCTCGACAAAAGCCAGCCCTAGGAGAAGGAGGGCCGCGTCCCTGAGGGCGGATACAAGCTGGCAGAGACGGGGCGCTACATGCGCCCGGACTGCACTGGGCTGAGGGTTCTCTGGGGTTTTTGGGGGCCAGAGCCCTTACAGGGTTTAGGGTTTGGGGTTTGGGGTTTTGGGGCTCACCGGAAGGTTCAATGATTCAAACCCTTACCTGAAGCCATAAACCCAAACCCATGACATTCGCCCGTAGAGCAAGACCTGTTCCACCTCAATGGGTTTCCAGGCACACCGCCTCCTATGTACGATCCACTGCCGAGGCAGGTTTTTTGCCTTTTTGGTGGCTAGGGATCGAGTTAGGTTCGGAGTACTTGTGTTGTTGGGTTTAGGACTTAGGGGTTGCGCGTGGGCCTTAGATCCTTGTGTATGCATGCGACGGTGTAACCGTACCTGGTTTCTGCTAGTTTTCTTTGCGGGGGTGGTTACATCATTCTTACTGCGCCCGCTCCGACGCATCGGCCTTTAGAACACTTTCGGGGTCTTCCATAGTTTATCCCTATAGTTATTGAAAGTTAGCGTTTCGCCTAGGTGAAATGCTTCTTTTGGCAGGAAACAACAAGGGTGATTTTGTATGTCTCTTGTTGCGAAACATTGGGTTTTTGCAAAATGTTCAGGTCGTTCTGTTGTCCAAAACGACCTGAACATTTTGCAAAAACCCACTGTTTCGCAGTAAAGACATACAAAATCACCCTTGTTTTTCTGCCAAAAGAAGCATTTCACCTAGGCGAAACGCTAACTTTCAACAAAAAGGGGTACAGCGCTGAATGCCCCAACAACAAAACGACCTGAACATGTTGCAAAAACCCAACGTTTCGAAAAACAAACGACATACAAAATCACGCTTGTTTTAATCCTGCCAAAATAAGCATGTCACCTAACTTTCAATAAAATAGGGTACAATTTCGACGGCGGCGGGTTGTGTATGGTCTGTGTGTTTCTGTACTTTTGCTTCCTTCATGTGTACCTCTGGGACGTGACAGAAGTATAAGGTTTAGGGTTCGAGGGCGCCGAAGATGCTTCTGTTGTCAGTATCCCAACATCCCAAATCCTGCGAAGCTTCCGGTCTCCACTCTCAAGCCTCAGGTTTGGGGTTGGGTTTAGGGTTTAGGGTTTAGGGTTTAGGGTTCCAAGTAGAACTCTATGGAGCGGGGGCATGAGTTCCCTTAATCATGGCAGGCCTGCGGGCTCCACCTCTCCAAGCGTGCCAACGTGGTGCTCCGAAAGAACGGGGGCAAGCCGGTCCATGGCCAGTTGCACATCCTCCGCAAGGTGTCGGAAGGACTACCATCCTAGCTCTTGGAACCACTCCCCCCCCCACCCCCCCCCGCAGCACAAAAGCGAAAACTAGGGCTTTGTGGGGTTTATGGCATCTAGGGTTTAGGGCATCTAGGGTTTAGGGTTTAGGGTCAGAGGTTCAGTAGCACTGAGAGCCTCCCAGTTGGCACAATGTGGGCCTCTTCTTGCTTCTTCCGGGTGCGAGGGGAGGTTGCAGGGGAGTTGGTGTCTCACACACCGGCGCTTTTCCACGCCCACCAGGCGTGGCGAGCTGAGACTATCTTCCAGGGACCAATCGTTCTACTTGCTGCACAATGCATGCCACATCCCTCAAGCTCTTAAAGGCACTTCTTGTGGCAGAAGTACATGACCCCACAATAATAAGGCTTGTGCATCGGAAGGAGTGGAACTTGTGACATGTGTTTTGGTGGCCGCAAGCACTGGTTGTGATGTCCTTGGCACTTACTTTTAGTAGTTCCGACCTGAAACGCCCAAATCCAGAATCCAGCAACAGCTCTTACTGGCACTTTCCCTTTCTCAAGACAATCCTGGATCCCAGGGGATCGAATCAACCCGAAAATTGAGGTCATATACCCTATACTACTACAATGTCTATTAAGGTCCATGAACCCCAAACCCGTTTAGGGTTCATTTGGTCCCCAAGGAAGGTATTTCATGTAGGCCTCGCTTCATGTCCCGGCGCGCCCGCCATTGAAAATGGATGCTGCGTGTTTCAAACACTAAGGTCTGTAAAGGCTGGTAATGGGGTTTAGGGCTTGGGGCTTAGCATCACAAATATGCTTTATGGCTTATAGACCGGCTTCAGAGCTTAGTGAGTGTTCAGCAGATATTTGTCTAGGATATGTTTCTTTGCCACTCACCTAGGTTGGACCGTGGTGCTCTTGTCAGGGTTTGACAGAATCCCTCAGCCTAAAACCTAAACCCTAACGGGGCGCGACACGTTGCTACCCCCCAAGAACCTTAAGAATCGCAGGCCCTCTTCTCGAAACTGCGCCCAACAGAAGCCCTAAAGCCTAAGGCATACTAAACCCTTAAAACCCTAAACCCTAAATGCGGAGTGATCCCCAGAGGTGGTCTGCTAGGAGGGTGGCAAAAAAAAAAAACCATCAAGAGGTCACAGAATCGACTCTGCGCACCAGGGTTTGTGTGGGGAGTCGGTACCCTGGGTGGGGTACCCTGGGGACCAAATATGAACCCTGACATTGGGGTAAGGTATGTAAGGGTTTAGGGTTCTGGGCCAGTAGGGTTTATGGTGCTCTAGGGTATACCCTGTACTGCTCTAATTCCTGTTAGGGTATATGAAGCCCGAAACCCTAAACCTTAAACCTTAAACCACACGCACCAGCCCTTGTCGCCTAACCTTACGTCCCGAAAGCACGGTGGCGCCGACGTTTCCGGCCGAGGATGTCAAGTGCGCCATGCTGCGTCAAGTGGACCTCCCAGGGCAGTGGCTGCCTCGGGCAATATAGAGGTTTAGGGTTTAGGGTTTAGGGTTTAGGGTTTAGGGTTTAGGGTTAAGGGTTAAGGGTTGAGGGTTTAGGGTTTAGGGTTTAGGGGCGCGAACTGGCCCGGACAATGTGTATGTTGGCAGGGATGTGGAGCGGGAGGTGGAGGCTCTAGACCCTACCTGGGTGTCTTGCACAGCTCGTGGTCTATGGCCTGCTCGTGCCCTGCAGGATGCCAGAAAGTAGTTCGTATGAGGTGTTTAGCAGTGCCGTCGGCTGCCAGTTGCTGGGATCTGTCATGACCTGTCATGCGCTGCTTTGTGCATCTTCAGTACGCGGCGGCCGCTAAGCAGGGCAGGTGGCATCGATCCCTAGGCCCAAATCCCTAACAACTTTCAAGCCCGAAGCCAGAAGTAGTCCCCGATACCCTCAACCCTAAACCCTGAACCTTAGCAGGAATTATGAGCTTGCCAAGGCCTAAGCCAGTAGTAGTTGTGAGCATGTGGGTAGCAACCCTAAACCCGAAACCCGAACCCTAAACCCTAAACCCTAAACCCTAAACCCTAAACCCTAAGCCAGTAGGACTTGTGAGCATGTGGGTAGCTCCATTTCTCATGACTGATGGCGACAGCAGCCCCGCCCCTGAGCCAGCAGCAGGCGCGACTTCAATGGCAAAGGGCAGTCCAAGCGATGCCCCCCTAAACCCTAAACCATAAACCCTAAACCCTAAACCCTTGGGGGTGGAGGGCTCTCGAGGTCCTGCTGAGGTAGGCCTGTTGCATGAGGGCCCGTGAGATGGACCCCAAGCCCTAAAACAGCGGCGGCACCAAAACCCCAGCACCACGGAACCCCCCTCCCCTGTCGCCCCCAGATTGTGCCCGACTGAGAGTCGGAAGTCCCCCCGCCCTAAACCCTAAACCCTAGACCCTAGACCCTAAACCCTAAACCCTAAACCCTCCGGTTGCTTGCACGTTTTCGTCCACGGTTCTCTGGCTTGGACTGGACGTAGGGACAGGTGCGCCTTGCCATTTGTAGTCGGAACCCCAAAGGATCCATGTACCTATATAGTATATACTTGGGCCTTAAAGGGGTTCCTATATAGTAGCTTTAGGGCCCAAGTATATACTATATAGGTACATGGATCCTTAGGGAACAGCTAGGTGAGGTCCTCTGGGGGCATGATAGAATTATTGGGTAGCTTTGTGTCGGGTGTCGGTGTCGGTGTCGTCATGCCTGGACGGTGGCCTCACTGGCATAGCGGATAGTGCTTGTGCTGGTCTTTTCGCCCTTTTTCCTGTCTTTCTTATAGTAGTGTGGCTGCGAGGCTGCTTGGCAGGTGGCCAAAAAGCCTAAACCCTAAACCCTTATCACGCAGCTGCAATCCCGAGCTTGCTTGCATGAGCGAGGTTCTGTTGCGCGAATGCCGCCGCTACGTTGCACTTGCCGAGCTCCGCAAGGACCAGCCAGCACAAGAACCCCTAGGTTAATAGGCCCCAAGGGCCCATGTACCTAAAGAGTATACCTGAGACAGGGGACATGGTTGCATGGACCCTTTGGGCGGGTTGGCTTTATATGAAAAAACATTTTTCAGAGTTCTGTCGGGCCCTGTAGTCGGTATTTATCTAAGTCCGACTCCAGAAAAACCCTAAACCCTAAACCGTCTCAGACTTGTGGGAGCCAGTGCCCCTGCAGTGCATTGTGATTCAGCTACGCAGGCGGCAAGAACCCGACCAAATGAACCCTAAAGTTGGGGATGCTACAAGAATTCCGATAGATTAAATACATAAATACATATATATATATGTATATATATATATTTTTATATATGAACCATAAACCCTTTTAGGGTTCATTGTCCCTAAGGAAGATTATGGGCTGAGTGCCGCTGCTTCAGGTCTGGACTAGGATGGCCATTCAAGTAGGAGCAGGTGGAACACTGTTTACCATGCACTCTTCGAAGACCCCTAGTACCTGGGGACGAAATGAACCCTAAAAGGGTTTATGATTCATATACCTTAATAGGAATTATAGTAGTCAGGGTATATGAACCCCAATTTTAGGGTTCATTTCGTCCCCAAGGTACTCTACATACCCCGGGATGAAGTACCCTTGAGAGCCCTGATTCTTGAAAGAATAAGCTGGTTACCCCAGCCTCTCAACAAAACACCTTCAAGTAACGTGATCGTCCAGGGCTAAGGAACCCCATGTAAGCCCGAATTCAGGCCTTATGCTCTCACCTTGAACACACTACACCACAGGCCTTCGACAAGCTCTGGCGGGAGGTTTTTGCACATGCGGCGCCGGCAGAGGTGCGTTTGGGGCGGTGGCGGGTTGGGCCAGGGGTTGTCCTAGGATTTGCGGTCGAAAGAAAGCTAGGAGTTCGGGTAGAGGGTTTTGGGTTTTGGGGTTTGCAAACGGTATGCTTGCACGGTGGTATCCAGCCCAAGCGCGCGCAATCTAGGGCGCAGGAAGTGGAGTTTCTTAGGGGAACGGCACAGCGGTGCACAAACACTCCTTTATTCCCCGCCTTGACCTGAATGCTTCGTAGACGTGTCGGCCAAGGTCGTCTGTTTCACAGCGAATCTTGCATCTCCGCCACCCCCGTCGGGAAATTCTCTCGCGAAAGTGATTTATTTGCTTCCGGTAGACACATGATCTGGCTGTAGCTCTGCTGGGGCGAGAGGGTTGAGCACTTGATTCCAATGGCGCGAGTCCATCTCCTTTCGCCTCGCTGACCCCATACGGCTGTCTTCTACAACCAGCGGTGCCCCATGCGATACTACAGATCCAGTTAGGGTTTAGGGTTTAGGGTTTAGTTCACGGCCTCCGGAATCCTGGAACTTGGTGGTCTGCTCATACAACAGGGCCGAGCCATCCCACGATGGTATCTTGGACTTACCACCGCCATCCTCTGGCATATCGCTTGCTTGCAGCTGGGCCTACACGCTGATAAGCTTCCTCTCGGCAGCTCCGCTACCATGCAAGCGGCATGCTTGCACGGTGGTATCCGGCCCAAGCGCGCACAATCCATGGGTCAGGAAGTGGAGTTTCTTAGGGCAACGGCACAGCGGGTTCACAAACACTTTTTTATTTCCCGCCTTGACCTCAATGCTGCGTAGACATGTCGCACAAGCGTCGGAGGCTGCCAAGATCGCCTGTTTCGCAGCGAAGCTTGCAGGGTTTAGGGTTTTGGGTCACCCTAAACCCTATACGGGGTATAGGATCGAGGGTTTGGAGTGTAGGAAAGGAGCCTGGGTTGAATAAAGAGTGTAGGGCATGCAGGGGCTTATATCGGGCTTAGAGTTAAGCATCGTTGACCCCACGAAAAGAGCTTCATTCATACAGGGGAGGAGGAGAGGGTTAGGGTTTAGGGTTGAGGGCTTGGAGAACATGATGGGCTGACAGCTCTGATGACCATTCCATGGAGCATTGAGACTCTCAAGCGAGTTTCCGAACGGGCCGGGTTGTCTTGTAGCAAGCTGGGTTCCATCCAGGCTCAAATCCTCTCATCGCACCACATGGATATCTCGGAGTCACCACAAACCATGCGTGCGGCTGACGAGCGAGAAGAGCTGAGTCTTCCAGTTCCTGACGACTGCGATGGCAGGGTCATAGGAAGCACCCTGCAGGAGGACCCAAGTGAGGACCAAAGTGAAGAAAACAGGGTGGAAGGTGCACAGTCACAAGTTGCCGAGTTTGTTTCACACATGGACCTTGCAAGCCCCGAGGTTCTGAGGGTGACGCCCGCTTGCGAGGCCTTCAGAAACTGCTTTCAAGCTTTGCGCGGCGCAGGGGGTGACCTTCACTTCAAGAGCCACCGGAGCGACAAGATTGGCGCCTTTTGGAGCCATTCCTGGCATGGGAAGACCTGGAAGAAGATTCTGACTCTGGTCACTATTTACAACGGCCAGGCAGCTATCATGTTGGGCATGCTCGTTGCTGTTGTGATGATGGTTTTGTTCTGTGTCCTGGGTCTCCCTGATTACCACCGTGATGGAAACAGGAACACGGAACGCTGGTCGGTGTGGTCTACGTGGTCTGGTATCCTGGTCACTTTTCTGGCAGCGATCTTTTATCGGCCTCAGACTCGTGTCTTCTTCGACCGCATCTGCATCAGTCAAAGCAACAGAGAACTGAAATTGAAAGGTGTCATTAGTCTGGCCGGGCTGCTGCGAAGGTCGGATTCGATGCTTATTCTTTGGGATTCAACATGGACTACAAGGTTATGGTGCTTGTTCGAACCTAGGTATAGGCCCTTGGGAGTATTTTGCACTTGTGTTCGCTTCTTGTCAACCTTAGTTATGAAGACGCTTCAGAGTTTCTAGAGGCAACAACCATAGGAATTGGCGGCCTTCTTGAAAAGCAGGGAAGATGAAGTTCACCAGAAGCTGATCATCACACCAACCCTTTGGGGGCCAGTTCACAGTGTAATGTTCTTGACTGTCAGCGCGGGCGCGATTACTGGCGTCATGGCGCCCTATGCGCGGAATTCTCTATCGAGTCCGCAGGATTATTTCCTTGATTCAACTTTTGTTAGTGGGGTCGTTGTCCTGGTGGTTGGCTACGCGATTACGAGCACCTTGCGAAGCTATTTTCGAGACTTAGACACTATGAGGCAGCAATTGATGTCCATCTCCTTCGATACTGCTCTGTGCCAGTGCTGCACCAGCAACCACGTCGCACCATCCGGTGCTCGTAGGATGTGTGATCGGAAGATATTGGGGGAATGTGTGAGCATGTGGTTCGGTAGCTTGGCATCGTTTGAGGGCACGTTGCGCTCTGAAGTTCTGGAGCTTTTGGCACGGGACCTTGAGCAAGTTCTGACCACTCGATCAACGATCGCCGTATTTTCTCCACTGATGTGGGCCTTCATGGATTATGCCGCTTCCTTTTCAAGGACTGAAGGGCGCTTCTGGAATCACCACTCCACGATTGCACTCGCAGATGGTTTGGTGGTTTGGATCGTGGCCGTGCCAGCGTTAAAAAACTGGGTCCTGCTTGTTTGCAAGCTTGCACGGGCGAGGCCACGAAATTGGTTCCTCGAAGGCATGAAAAACTCACTGGTTGTACTTATAGTTCTGATTTCGCCGGTGACCCTTGGGCTAAGATTGTTGGCATATGATCTTCACATGCTGTCTTCGCTGGGCCAAGCGGGAGTGGTCATTGCCGCCACGCTGCTCCATGCCATCTTCTTCTGCTGCCTTAGCGTTGCCCTGAAGGCTTTCCTTGGGACCAGGGTTTAGGGTTTATGGGCTTAGGGTGTTTAGGGTTTAGGGTAACGGCCTGGTGACCAAGATTCTTCCTGCTGTCGAGACCTTCGATGTTTTCCATTCCGCTTTCATCGACCACTCCGGCACAATCCGAACAGCATATTGTTCAAGCTGTTCCCTAATGTTCCCTAAGGGTCCATGTACCTGATGATTATATACTTGGGCCCCAAACCCTAAACCCTAAACCCTATATAGCAAGTACTTTATAAGGCCCAAGCATTCCCTATTTGGGTACGCGGGCCCTTAGGGTTTGCTGAGTCGTTTCACTGCATCATCTCCACACTGCATGGGCTTAGGGTTTAGGGTTTAGGGTTTAGGGTTTAGGCTTTAGGGTAAACTGTTTGAGGCTCCGAAGCCTTTCAACCTGAGAATCTCCTGGCGAGACCTTTGGCATTATGGTCTCTATACTGTAGAGTAACACCAAGCTCAAGAGTATCCTCAAGATTGGGTTGAGGGTTACAGGCTTCGGGTTTAGGGCGAAAGCTGCTCCTGCCACCATGTGCCGTTTAGGGGAAGTTTAGGGCTTAGGATTTAGGCAAGGGTTTAATTAGGGTTATGGGCTGGTTGGGGTTGCTGCGGAATATGGACGAGGCAGGCAGTGGGGTGGAGCCTTGCTGCAAAAATGGGTTTAGGGTTTAGGGTTCAGGGGTCCGTACTGGTCGCGGTTCATAATCTTGGCATGTCTTGTCTTTGCGTTTTCTTGCAGATCTCGGCACGGCTTGTCCGGGATATGCCCTGTACTACTCGGAAGGGAGAGTGCAGTGAACTATATCTGCACGGGTACCCTGGGTAGTCTCGAGCCAGCTGACGCAAAGAGTCTGGGTTCAAAAAAAGGGTTCAGGGTTCAGGGTCCCATAAACCCTGCACCCTACACCCTAACCCGAAACTTTAAACCCTCAAACCTCAACCCCAAACCCTCAACCCTAAACCCTAAACCCTAAACCCCAGCCGTAAAAAAAAAGGGTCTCGGGGCAGAGGCCGGGTTCAGGGCTTTGGGGCTTAAACTTTTTACTATCACCGCAGGCTTTTTGGGTGTAGGGTGTTTAGGGTTTCGGGTTTAGGGTTTAGGGTTTAGGGAGGGTATCTTTTCGACTCAGCCCTGCAGCATGAGCCATTTCCCTCTCCAAGGAACGTGGCTACCAGGTGTAGCCTGTTATCTAGAAACCCAAAAACCATGTCGTTACCCTAAACCCTAAACCCTAAACCCTAAACCCTAGTTTCTAACCCAAAAGCACCTCTCCGACTGCTCCACTGCATCCTCAGCTTCTTAGAGACTTCCACCGAGGGCCTCCGCACTACCAACAGCGAAGCCTGCAACACAGAGACCTAGAAAGTTTAGGGTTTGCGGAGAATCTTTAGGCATGACTTGGCCAGCGAAACCCGCACAGGGTGTGGGGATTAGGGTTTATAGGGTTTATCGCACCCTGCACTCTCTAAACAAATAAAGCCTATATCTGGACACTGCAACCCAAAACCCGAAACCGCGCCCTAAACCCTAAACCCTAAACCCTAAACCCTAAACCCTAAACCCTAAACCCTAAACCCTAGACCCTAGACCCTAAACCCAAACCCTAAACCCTAAACCCTAAACCCTAAACCCTACACCCGACCATTGCCTTGCACTGAAAACCCTAAAGCCCACTGGGCTCCCCCGTTTTCCTAGATGGGATAAGGGGAACCCTTAAAGCCCTTCTTAACCCTCTTCTGGCTCTCTGAAACAGGGACCTTATACCCTAAACCCTAAACCCTAAACCCTAAACCCTAAACCCTCTTCTGGCTCCCTTAAACAGGGACCTTATGACCCCTAAACCCTTACTTCTTGCACAGCACATGGCCAGCGGAATTGAGCTGCAGTCGCGGGCAAGTTTTGTCCCATCCTGGCTTACTGTTCCCGAGGACCCTGGCTTGGGTAGGGTTTAGGGTTTAGGGTTTAGGGTTCAGGGTTCAGGGTTCAGGGTTTAGGGTTTAGGGTTTAGGGTTTAGGGTTCAGGGTTTAGGTTCAGGGTTCAGGGTTTAGGGTCGAGGTTTGGTGTTTTGAGCTTAGGGTTCAGGGTTTAGGGTGCAGGCCTGTTTCAAAAAGGGTTTGGGGTTTAAATTTCCAGGATAGAGATGGTGTCAAGCCTCAGAAGTTTCGAGGCTGGCACGGGACCAAACGAACCCTAAAATTGGGGTCATGTACCCTGCAGTGCCCTATGTCCTTTTGATAACGTATGGAACGCTTTTAAGGTTCATTTGGTCCTCACGGGATGCTGGAGATTGAGTCTCTAAAGGGCGCATTTACTTGCAGCCGAAGAGTTTCCCCAATCTTAGCTCGATCCTGAATCCCGACAAAACACTAAAAACCCTAAAGAACCCTGAACCCCTTACAGGGCTCAGGGTTCAGGGTTTGCAAGCTATGTCGTTGCAAGCCTGCTGCCTCAATCCCTAAGCGCCGCCCACATGCCTCCGCAGGAAACCCTTGACCTTTAAAGCCTGTCCTCTACACCCTAAACCCTAGCCCGACACCCTATACCCTAAACCTTCGTCCTCAACTCCCTGTCCTTTGTCGCCGCCCCGCGATTTTCGTCCCCACAAATTGAGGATGTGGACCTGGATTCCGTGCAACTCCAGAAGCGCGTGAAGGCCCTGTCTTTGGGTAGTCTAACGACCCGAAACCCTAACAACAACCCCAAACCCTAAAAGCTTCAAACCCGAAACCTTAAACCCTAAACCCTAAACCCTACGCTTGAACGTCTTTCGGGTTTCGGGCTCAGGCATTGTCGGCTGTACGGAAGGGCACCACGCAGCCGACCCCTCCTTTGCACCAGTTTTGGCCCACCGGCATCGAATGGGCTAGAAACCCTTTCGGGTATAGGGTCAGGGTTTAGGGTTTAGGGTTTAGGGTTTAGGGTTTAGGGTTTAGGGTTTAGGGTTTAGGGTTCAGGGTTTAGGGTTTAGGGTTTAGGGAGTGTCGGATAGGACGCACATGCAGGCCATCATGGCGCTGAGTGCTGGCACAGCACTCATGGGCTCGCTTCCGGTCTGCTGCTATTGGGGCTCTTGAAGTCTTGAAGTCTGGGAGGGTTTGGGGTTTAGGGTTTAGGGTTTAGGGTTTAGGGTTTAGTCACCAGTTTGCCCACAAATATGTTTCGCTTTGGGCTTGCAAATGCAGCATCTACGACTGAGATCAGGGGATCTCACAGCGTCGCTTTCACGCAGCGTTGTGGTCAGTGAAAACAAGCACAGGCTGTCCAACGACGACTAGCCTTTTGCACCCTTCCTCCTCTTCTTCCTTCCGCAACTCCACTCCCGTTGCCTAATCTTTACTATTTCTGGTCTAATCTTCGAGTCTTAGAGTCTTCAGAAGAAATGCAGTCATCCTTGCACGGGTCTTCTCTCCTTACGACTTGCTTTGCCAAACTCCAGGAACTATTCTTGCGCTGAGCTTGGAGGTCGAAGCCTTTAGCCCCTAAACCCTAAACCCTAAACCCTAAACCCTAAACCCTAAACCCTAAACCCTAAACCCTAAGCCCTAAACCCTAAACCCTAAACCCTAAACGGGACTAAACGAGGCTGTCCTTGGCAGCGCTCAATGTGCTTGCTGCCGTGGAGGAGTGGCTCGGCAGGAGTGTTTGGGTTTGGAGGCAGGGTTTAGGGTTTAGGGTTTAGGGTTTAGGGTTTAGGGTTTAGGGTTTAGGGTTTAGGGTTTAGGGTTTAGGGTTTAGGTTTATAGGTCTTAAGGTTTAGGGTTTATAGGGTTTAGGGTGGGAGAAGTATGACTTTCTCCGGCCGACTTCCCACGGATGCAAAAGGGTTTAGGGTTTAAGGTTCCAGGCAATCTTGCAGAGCCAGGCCCGAAAACGAAATTACTACTACTACTACTACTACTACTACTACTACTACTACTACTACTACTACTACTACTACTACTACTATTACTACTACTACTACTACTACTACTACTACTACTACTACTACTACTACTACTACTACTACTACTACTACTACTACTACTACTACTACTCTACTACTACTACTACTACTACTACTACTACTACTACTACTACTACTACTACTACTAACACTACTAGCTACTACTACCTACTACTACCTACTACTACCTACTACTACCTACTACTAACTACTACTAACTACTACTAACTACTACTAACTACTACTAACTACTACTAACTACTACTAACTACTACTAACTACTACTAACTACTACTACTAACTACTACTAACTACTACTAACTCCTACTGACTGCTACTAACTACTACTAACTACTAACTACTACTAGCTACTACTAGCTACTACGAACTACTACTAACTACTACTAACTACTACTACTACTACTACTACTACTACTACTACTACTACTACTACTACTACTACTACTACTGAAATTAGTTTAAATCGACTATGGATCGAAGGCGTTGCCCTCCCTGTTGCTTGCACAGGGTGTTGGCCATTTCGTTGCAAGCCGGTTCTGGACCCTAAACCCTAAATCCTAAACCCTAGATCGAGGTTGTGCATGACCTTTTTCAGGGCATTCAGCCTCACGAGCGGAGGCTTGCACACTACATTACCGATATCAGGGCAGACAGCGTTGCATGCAGGTTGTCGGAAGCAGTCGGGCAGATCCACATGCTTCGGCCATCTCGCGTGTGTGAAGCTATATACAGGGCACGTCCGCTCCAAGAATTTGGGGACAACAGGGTTTGACCTTGGGGTACCAAATGAGCCCCAATCCTTAATTGGGATTATAGTAGTATGGGGTATATGCCCCAATTGTAGGGTTCGTTGGGTTTTCCTGCATCTCCCACCCAGCTGAGACATAGTCCTGAGGATGCCTCCATGGGGTTCGCATATGTCTAGGCAAGTCTGCACTCGATCCACCCTGTTCCGAAGACAGCAGAGGCGCTTGAACCTCCTTTTTCGCCCGCAGTTCCCAGTGCTGTCGCCACTGCTCTTCTGCCTGCTGGCTGTGGCT